ATCTGGAATCTGAGGAAAACAATTGCCGGCAGTCTGAGGGAACTCCCAAAGTACCTTTTCACACATGAGCGCGCCGGGCTCAGAACATTACAAAAAAAAAGAAAAAGGGAAACTAGCTTTGAGATGACGAAGCCTAAATGCCCTTACAGTTTATCGAATCAGAAATCTATAATAAGAAAGCTTAATACATTTTCATTTTTTTAATCTATATATATGGGAAAAAAATTTATGACAATTTTTTCGATAAATCAAAGTTTAAAAATCCGATAACTAAGCCAAAATAAACATTAATTTTAATTTGGAAAGCTGTTCTATGTTAGTTTTTATTAGGTTAATAAATCTACATACTCAATTCATAATTTTAATGTATTAAAATTTTTGCCAATTTTTCATATGCCAATTTTAACGATTTTACCCCTTAAAAATTCTCAAAATTTTGAAAAAAATTAATTTTAACCGAACATAGCTAGATCGATTTGGCGTTTGATGCTGATAAAGAATATATATGATTTCTAGGGTCGGAAATGATTCCTTCACTACGTTTTAACCCTCTGACTAAAGTTATAATACCCTGGAAAGGGTATAAAAATAGCAGACGTTTCTGTGGAGGAGGATATAGAACCCAAAGGATCAGCCTCAGCCTCCCCCAATTTCAGTTGTTGTAAATCACAAAGTGAAACCGAAACCGTTAACGTGTTGCGGTTACGCTCCTGACTTTGCTGTGTGGCACAAAAAAAATAGGAAAAAATAAAAAACGAGGCAAAGAAAAAAAATCGTGAAATAGAAGGGAGAACTGAGGCAAGTCATTCCATTTGTGAGACTTTATTAAATGGGAACTGAGCGGGGGCAACGTCCTGCCTGTGTCCTGTCCTGGCTTTTTATTGCGATTTTTTCGCAAATGTTTAGAGGGGTCCATGTGTGTGAGTTTATCAAACTCCTTACATTTGTTTTCCCGGCCAAACAGGGCCATTTCGCTTCCCCAAGCAAACTTTTTCTTATTTAATGATTGCTTTCACAGAGAGAAAGCTGAATCGATGGGGGAACACCGAGAGCTGGTTTCGCATTTCAACTTGAGAAATGTGAAATTGTTCCAGTTTCCTTATTTTTGCCCTTCCGAAGATTTGTCAAATCTTTGACACAATGATGCATAACGTTATCTGAGATTTGCCGGCTGAGAGAAAAAAAAGGAAAAAACAACAATAACAACAATCGACTTTGCGAATTAATCTTCTTAATGTTTGTGACTTGTAACCATGGGCACTAAGTAGGATGCTTAGACCCAGGGAATCACTTAATGCGATTGCCAAAGTGAAGAGTTTTTGGGGGAAAATTCTGTAAAATATTTTTGCTAATTGCTGGAACTCTTTAGAGATGCAGATGCACCTTTCCACTGGGTATCCCATGGTGCCTAAAGGGCACTAGATGGTCTCATAATCGCATCAGGTTCCGCACGATTTAACAGCAACGCAATTCGGACGAGACTCAGACCAATTCCAGACCGTTGGCAACGCAACCGATTGTCTGCTCTTGCATTTCCATCTAACGCTTGATTTTTACACTAAACAATATTTTTAGGTACAATTTTGAGATACAAGATACAAAATTAAATTCAAATTATATCAGATATATCTATTTATTATAACTAGACAAAAACAGGCAAATCTAAAAAGGTTCTTAAAAAAACTTACCCAAATACTTTTATACACTTTTATTATAGGTACAATTAATAAAAAAACATAATAGATTTTGAAATAATGTTAAAACCATTCTATTTTAAATATTATATTATTTTTTATAAACATTTTTATTTCCTGTGCCCCGAACTTCATTTTATTTTGCTCAACACTTTTTTGGCCTCGCATTGATTGCTCCACAATTGCGCAATTTCGTTCACTAAAAGCATTTCAAAAATACAGCACAATACTGCTCAATGTAACGGGGAGGAGCAGAAGCAGGAGAAGAATCCTGAGCAGGACAAGGAGCTGGAGCAGGAGTGGCTTCTTGTGTGCCCGCTGCCATGACGCATAAGCTTCGATAAAAACTGTTGTTCGATAAGCATTTTGTTTGCAATGCGATGGGAGTTGTTATGTAGTCTGTGCCTCCAGACCCAAGTCATGAACTCTTGTGGTTATTCTGGGGACACGAGTCGTTTGAGGAAGCCATAACGAATCACTATTTAATGTGGAACTTGGTAAAGTTTCTTGGAATTGTTTGCCATTGTAAGGAAAGCCTGGGAGGAGAAGAAATCAATCATACGCAGCGTTGACATTTGCTAACTTGGAAATTGAGACTTGTAAGTTATTTATATATTTAAAATATAGGAATTATAGTACATTAATAATTTACTGTAATTCCAACTGCAAAGATAATTTATTTCAAACCCGATTTACTTTAAACCCCAAGCATCTCCTACGCCTTAGGTGCCCTCATAAGTATGCTATAATTTGTGCGAAGTAAACTTCCTCTGCCGTTTGCTTGAATGTTCATCGGCTTAGTCATCTCTCCTTCCCCTGTCAACACTCCCTCACATCGGCAAATACACATGATATTCATTATGAACGGCTTAAGCGATTTCCCCAGGGCCGCACTAAGCCTCTTCCGCAGATATATATGTATATATATAAACACACATCGAGACACTCATGCATATGCACAGATATATTTCGAGTTTTTCGCATTTTATTTTTTTCATGAAAGTCTTTTGAATGGAATCCGATTTGACGAGAATACTCGTCAGCAAATTGGCAGCTCAACCAAAAAAATAATGAAAAGAAGTACGGGAAGCAGGAGATCCAATTCTCAACCTGATTGTTGGCCACATCAATCACAGCCGACCAGCCAGCCAACCGCCCCTTGTCATGTTTTACATGCTAGCAAAAAATAACCAGCGGAAAACATGGAAATAATAATTAAGGGACATAATTTTCGCCTTCCAAAAAATGGACAGCAAGCGTTCGCTGTTCTAATGAAAATAATCTGTCATCAAAGGCAAAAAGCCACCCCATTGTAAGCGAACAGGTGCTCCCGTATCCTGGCCACGCCCCCCGATGTATATATATGATTACATTGGGCTGCCAACTATTAACTCAGCATAAATTGTGGGTGTACCTTTGGGGGGAGGAAGGGTTGAAGGGCAGGAAGGTCGAAAGGTCGGCAGGCGACTGCCGGACGGAAATTGCATTGCCGTCCGAAATCAGATAAGATTCACCGACGACAACGGTCTCTTCTTTCACCAGGATATGACATTAAAAGCGCATCACAGACGGAAGGAGAACAGAGCTAGGCATCAGCAGCGGAAACTGTTGCCGTAATTACATTCGAAGCGGGAAGGAAAAAAAGATTGAAATGGATATTGAATAAATACGAATTACTGTTACTCTATGTTTACCATTATAGGATAAAATAATTCATAAATATTAATAATAACGTGCTTTTATATACTCAAATCGAGAGTCGAATATAGACTTGATTACACACATATCATTTTGTCAGAAGACAAATCTCAAAGGTGTTTTTACAGTCTTTTTGTAATGAATAAAATAAATCTAAAATTGAGTTGAGTTATGAATAAGTTTATGTATTTAGTATTTATAAAAATAGTATAAAATATTATTCAAATCCCTAAACGAAAACTACCCTAAGCTACACTATATCCTCTCATCCAATAAAGAGCTCATTGCTGGTCATTTGCGCTCTCCTTTGACCCCAAAGGCTCTGCTTTGATTCGGTCTTTGTTTGCGCCATTAAATTAAATATCCTCGCCCTGTCGCTCGACCTCTGACTGAGTTTGCTCATCTCGGCTGCCCAAAGACGACAATGCCGACAATTTCAGTCATTTCCTTAATAGAAATCTTATCTTTGGTGACGCCTTCGCCTTCGTGTGCCTAAGCCGGATATCGCACCTTTGACATCTGTCGTGTGAACGCCTGGTAGAGCAACTCGGTGCTGAACAGTCACAGAACACTTTTTGTCAGCTTTTTAGGAAAATTAGTATTTCCGTAAAATTGTATACTATAAAGGTAATAAGACAAAAATAGATTATATTTACAAACACCATGAACAACAACTGCTGCTGTACTCAAACGGAGGAGTGTAACCAGTGCCAGTCCGGTGAAGACCAGAAGAAGGGTTCACTACTTCACATGGTTGTGGGTCCGTTTCCCGATGAGGTATTCATGAATATTTTGGATGGCATCATACTTTTATGGGGTGCCATCAAAATAAAGAACATGGGTAATGTGCAGAACTCGGGTAAGTGTATTCCATTATTTCAAAATCAAATAGATTTACAATTATAATCAATATATTAGGATAGATTAATAAAATCTCTATTTAAATTTTGTAGAACCTGTTACCAAGGAAAAATCCTGCCTTCCTCCACATTCTTCCTCTCCTCAATCGTCTTGCCCTCCTCTACCGTCTTGCACTCCAACGTATAGCTGCTCAACCTGCTCCTTGGGTCGGGTCAGCTCCTTTCACACTATATGTTGTTCGTCGTCTCCCAGCAAGCCGAATGACTGTAAAGAAAGGGATTCAACGGTGACCAGCAGTCCAAAGTCGGTGTGCTTTAAAGGTTCGAATCGTATAAGCGCCGCCGCAAATTGTCCTCGGCAGCTTTCTGCTCGTGTGGACTTTAAACATCCGGCAGATGATATTCGCAAGCAACAGAGTGCCGGTGGTCCATCGATGAAGGAGCGATTGATGCAGGCTGAAATTGTCTGTTCCGCCGCCTGTGACGCTTTAAAAACTCGCCTTAAGCCCAAGAAGAGTCCAAGAAGTGAGTGCAAAGGTCAAAAATGGCTCTGGACCAAACTGATACGCACCAAGAACGGCTGTCAGGTGTATGAAGTATACAAGGACTCGAATGCCAATTGCTCGCCATCCAAAATCGGCTCTAAGACTCCGGCCATGGTCTTTTTGGTCTTGCGAAATGGGCATATCATGCCCTTTGAGTCGATTAAAACAGTATAAAGTCGATAATATTGATAAAATTATAAAAATTGTATCGTCTCTTAATATATTTAATCAACTCGGAAGCTTTTTCATGATTTAAACAACACATTTTTAAATTGAAATGGAATTACGATATTAGCAATAAATATCACAAGTTTTTGGCTAATATCAAAAAATTAGGCTACTCGTATACGCTTTTTAAGCATAATAAAGACAATTCCGGCACTTACAAACATATATGCGGATAGTATAACCACACACTCGATATCATTCCGGTTTCCTGGATTCAAACCAAATTAACCAGCCCAGTGAGGAAGTTGGACAGCATAAAGTGCGTCAGACCATTCATGTTGAGGCTTTCAACAAAGGTGGGTAGGGATTGGCTGGTTACCTTGTCGCCATCTCCAATCAATTTCTGGTTACCAACTTGTTTAAGTTCAAAGAAAAATGCATATATAACAATCAAGCTCAAACAGATGCCGAATATCCAGATCACATAGCCAAAGCTGAAGGTTACACGAGCAATCCCTGTTAAGAAGGCGCTACTAAAAGCTAGTATCCAACAGAAAACTGCCGCAACTAGGAGTTTTTTCAACTTGCTGGCCAACTCTTGGTAACTAAGATGATCCTGGGCTGTGTACCACTTGGATAGGTAAATACTAAGCAAATAGAGAGCCACGCAGCCGTGTAGGGAGCTTAAACCTTCTCGATTGGCACTAAAGTAACCATCATGTGGGGCAGACGACATCACAAACTCGGAAAGGCCCAGCTGCAGCACAAGTTCGTGCAGGAAAAGCAAGCCTAAAAATAGACAAGTTATTAAATTTCCTCAAACAATTAATTAAGTACTTACCCAAAGCTAGAGGCAGGAGATGTTTATCCGACTTCACCAACAGAGTGTAGAAGCTGCCTATCAATTTGGTAAGGCCCAAGATAAAGAAAGCATTCAAATGCTTGCCATATTCTGTCTTATCCTGATGATAGTCAATCGCTGTGATGACAATGGTCCGGGCTAGGCCTAAGACCAGCAATGGAACCACCGATCTGGGTAGTTTTCTTAGATCAGCAAGACCCTTGGCACGATTTGAAACCAAACCCATGGTAACCACGAACATACCGATGCCCATGTCCATTGCACTGGCTCCAAACTTCCTGCTCTTGCGGTATTCAAGGGGACAAGAATAGAAATCCACGGCAAGAATGGCGGCACAGGTTCCATTATAAGCGGTGGCTCTCAGCAGAGTAAACACAATAGGCCGTTTACCGACCTCGTATTTGGCCTTCAGAGAAGAATCGCCGTCTGCATTTGCGTAAAGATAAACCAAAATAACTATGAAGACCACCAGGGAATAGGTGGTGTTATAGTCACTGCCGACGGTGATCAGAACCACAGTGGGTATGCCAATAAAGATGAACTCAGCAGGAATCTTCGCGCGGAATGCTGTGGCAGGTGGCCGCAAAGTAGTCGCGAGAGGATGAAACCCAAAAATGAGGGCCATATTGCCAAGAAACTATAGACACTATTCGTGACGGACCACCAGGATTTCAGGTCCACGCTGGATTCGTCGGAGTCACTAGTAATAAGGGGATTAGGGATCTCCACTTCCATTTTTTTGGATCTGTCAATGGGTTATGTTTAGAGCAAAATAACACTGGTTTCGAGTATAAAGTTACTTACTGCCCACGGAGGTGGAAGTTTTATTTTGCCTTCCCGTACTTGACGGATACAATGTTAAATTAATTCTGCCGGCAAACAAAAAGTAAACAATATTAAAGGTACGACCGTGGCCGGATAGTTTATAAATATACCATGTGTCATAATCTAATGTATCACACGGTCCACACTGCGCAAAGTACGTTATTTGCTTTCGTAAATAAAGAAATTGTAGAGCTTTAAACTCGTTAAATTTTAATATTCCAATTTCATTTCAATATCTATTGTTAACTGTGAATTTTCATATTAAATTAAAACAGATTCTACAGGAATCTTTCCAATTACTTTTAATAATACCGATTTATTTTGGATCTGGCAAAAAAGCAAAATAAATGCATTAAATCACAATTAGGGAAAGCTACTACAGTTCGTTGTGCTGCGGTGTTATGGATGGATTTTGGGGCTTTTCCTGAGGGAATTCATTGTGGGATCTAACTTCCTTGGCTGCTCAGCGACGAGATGTACGAATTCATTCCACATCGAAGCTATAGTTTGTGAACTTGGCGTGTGCCCCGCCCTCGGGATGATGTCCCTCATCCTGCGGATGGACTAGATCCCGCTGCTCCCATGTGCGGTACCGAACGCCTCGCAGCCTAGCTAAATCCTTGTAGCAGTTCGGATCCTCACAATTGTACAGCTCAAAGATGCAGGCCCAGTTGGGTAGGAAGAGCAAGTGGGTCAGGCCAGCGCCATGCATGCCTATGAGTATGTCTGTGTTCCGGGTTATAGACAACTGATCTGTGAAAGAGAGCCTGCAAGGATATACATTTTGTAGTAAAAAGTGAAAAATACAAGTATTGAATTACCTCTCGTAGGAAACGCGCTGCACGGAATAGTCTTCGTTATCCTCCAGACGACCCAGCAGCTCCTCTTCGTTGAGCACTTGCCTGTACTTGGTCCGACGCGATAGATAAGTAATACGGACTTTACGCTGAGGCGGCTGGTACGGAATCTGAAGACGGTGTAAGATGAACTCCGAAAAAGCTCGGAACAGTCCACTGTTTGAACAGCCTTGGATCTACAATGAATTACTAGTCAGATAAAGATTTAAAGCTCATCTTCCCTTACTTACGATAGGCGTATTGTAAAACAATCCAAAGATCATCCTGGGCAACAGCGGAAGGACCACATTCTTGAAGCACACCCTCTTGCCTTCCACATCGCTCAGTGTCCATACCGGTCTCTGCGAGAAGGCCTTGAACGTGTCCTTAAACGGCGAATCATACGGATAGGTTTCCCAAATAAGGATCTGCACGTCGGTGTTGAAGGCCGCTGGATGCGATTGATTCACAAAGAGCGAGGCATACAGGTTGAAAAAGTCGCAGAAGTGATGGTACATGTTGTACGTGCATCGATTTTCATAATGAAAGTGGCGTATTCACAACGAGATCACAGAGCCCGCTCTCTAGTATTTGATGAGGTAAGACGTCTAAGTTGCGCAGCTCTGGACCCCAGGATTGCAGTGCTGATCCAATGTGATCCATTTCACCGGTGAGCCTGGTGCGATTCAATTCGCAGTGGGCCAGCAGTTGACCCGGTTTTAGAACATCCATGTGGTAACGGATGCGCTCTTCCCGCTGCGCCAAGTCCCTGAAGTCGAAGAGCAGGTGCCTGCCGCGACAGAAGCGCAGGTAGTGGGTGCACTCAAGCGATGAGTCGCCCAGATAGGTGGGCACACACTGCGGTGCCAGCTCAGACAACTGCTCCTGTATGTAGCCGAAGTCCGCCTGCTGGTAGAAGGTCTTCACCTGGGCCTCCTTGCTCCTGGCCCAGCCAGTGTGATCTCCAGGGCACTGTGGCGTCTGAAAGCGGCCATCCGACGTGCAATCTCGTTCGTGGCCCCAGCAGGCCGATGAGATGGTGGCCTTGCCAGTGAGATTCGATGGCAGCTGCTGCTTCAGCTTGGGAAACGTGTTAAGGTAGCGGATAAGGTGCTCGGACGGCAGGTTGGGCAAGGTCAACTCGCTCCCAGGTGCTTGGCATCTTCCGGACGGTGAGCTTGGCTCGGGAACAGGGAGAGCAAATCCCCGTGAGTATTAGAAGGATTGGCAGCATTTCAGTCGAGTTGTGTTTAAGTACTTCGTTGCAATACGCGATTTTCCGGCGATTTCTCACGCTTTCACAGCCGCAGCGAGCGCAGCATCTTCAGGTGCATTTCACGGCCAGCGATGATGATCTCACCTTGCCTTAAGCGGCTGAAAGATGATTATGAGC